ACATCATACATAAGAATAAACTTAAACTGGATGAAAAACTTAAATGTAAGTCATAAAACCATAAAAATTATAGACGAAACCATAGGCAGCAAAATCTCAGACATCTCTCATAGAAATATGTTTACAGATACATCTCCTAGGACAGTGATGGCAAACCTATGACACACGTGTCAGAGGTGACATGCGAACTCATTTTTTTGGTTGATTTTTCTTTGTTAAATGGCATTGAAGTATATAAAATAAATATCAAAAATGTCTTTGTTTTACTATAGTTACAAATATCAAAAAATTTCTATATGTGACACGGCACCAGAGTTAAGTTAGGGTTTTTCAAAATGCTGACACGCTGAGCTCAAAAGGTTCGCCATCACTGTCCTAGGACAAAGGAAACTTAGAAGAAAATAAACAAATGGGATTACATCAAAATAAGAAGCTTCTGCACAGCAAAAGAAACCATCAACAAAAGGAACCACACTGTGTCATAGCACATATTTGGCAATGATACGTCTGATAAAAGGTTAATATCCAAAATACATAAGGAACTCATACAACTTAACAGAAGTAAGACAAGCCATCCAATAAAAAAGTGGGCAAAGGACCTAAATAGATACTTCTCCAAAGTGGACAGATAGATGGCCAAGAGACATGAAAAAATGCTCCAAGTCACTAATCATCAGAGAGATGCAAATTAAGACAATGACAACGAGGTATCACCTCACACCTGTCAGAATGGCTACCATCAAAAATTAACAAATGACAAGTGCTGGCAAGGATGTGGAGAAAGGGAACCTTAATACACTGCTGGTGGGAATGCAGACTGGTGTAGCTGTTATGGAAAAGAGTATGGAATTTCCTCAAAAAATTAAATATGGAACTCCCATTTGACCTAGTGAACCCATTTCTAGGAATATATCATAAGAAACCCAAAACACCAATTAGAAAGAATGTATGCACCCCTATGTTCATAGCAACACAATTTACAATAGCTAAGATCTGGAAACAGCCCAAGTGCCCAGCAGCTGAGTAGATAAAAAAGCTGTGGTACATTTATACCATGAAATACTATGAAACAGGAATGGAAAAATATATTCCATGCAAATGGAAAGGGTAAAAAAAGCTGAAGTAGCAATACTCAACAAAGGCCATAACAAAAGACAAAGAAGGCCACATCACAATACTAAAGGGAATGATTCAACAAGAAAATATAACTCTTGTAAACATATAAGAATCTTTTACCCTTTGAGACAGCATGAAGGAACCTGGAGAGTATCATGCTAAGTGAAATAAGTCAGTCAGAGAAAGACAAGTATCACATGATCTCACTCATATGTGGAATCTAAGAAACACAATAAACTATTGAACAAGTGGATCCAAAGACTTGGAAGCATGGAATAGAGTGCGGAATCTCGGAGGGAAGGCATGTGAGGGTGAGTGGGTGAGAGGTAATCAACCAAAGACCTTGTATGCATGTATGCATAACCCATGGACACAGAAAATAGGGTGGCGAAGGCCTGGAGCGGGGGGGAGGGGGGGGCTGGAGGAGGTAAGTGCGGGGGTAAGAGGACATAGATAATACTTTCAACAATGAAGATTTATTTTTAAAATAAACAGTGCTTCCTTATAGTCTGTTTTGTAATATATTTTTTATTGATTTCACAGACGAAGGGAGAGAGAGAAATAGGAACATCAATGATGAGAATCATTCATTGGCTGCCTCCTGCACACCCCACACTGGGGATCCAGCCACATGTGCCCCGGCCAGAAATTGAACTGTGACCTCCTGGTTCATAGGTCAACACTCAACCACTTAGCGCCACGCCAGCTAGGCCCTTGTCTTTGAGTAATATATTTTTTAGTCAACTAGTGCACTGAACGAGTAACTAAAAGTTTTCACTCTCAGTTCTGTGATTTGCTTTTTTACTAACCACATGTTTCTCATTACTGTTGGTTTCTTAGTGCCAACTATTAGTACACCTTTTGAGATTGACTATTTACTTTCATATAATCTTTCAACTGCCAAAATTTCTAGGTAACTTTAAAGTAGCTGCTCATTGAACACGGACAACATACAAGAATTCACACAGGTCTACATTTGGCAGCAAATGGACCACTGCACAATCCTTACAAAGTATTTGGTCAGTTATTCATTTGAGAAAGGATAATTCCTGGAACCTTTCTAACTTACGAAAGTGAAATCTATCTGGCTTTTATCATTAATTTCATAAATGAACTTGCCACCAATTTTTTGAATTGATCTTATGGACTACATCTAAAAATGAAATAGAGCCAACACTTAGGAATTTTTCTGGGTGAGAATATCCTACTACAAATTTAAATAACATGACAACCTTTTCATATCCAATTATTGTTTTCTTTATCATGAACTCACTCCATGAGTTCCCCAAACTCCTTTACTGACAAAATGATGGTGTTGACTTGTCATTTATTTTCAGTATCACCAAATGCCTTCATTAATTTTCTCTTCAGAAAACGCTGTTTTACTTTCAATGCTCCACAATACTTTTTAAATAGCCAACATTTTCAGTATGAACCATATGATTTCCATCTACTCTTTATAACTCTGTAAGGCATATTAATTTTAGCATAAAAGATATTCTATTCCCATGCATGTCCTGCTTTTTAATAAACACAATACTGGATGGGAATTCAATGCTAATGCTCTAATCAATTCCAATGCTCAGTACACCCATTCCCTTTTTTAATGTTTCCATTACATAAACAAATATATACACTTACCAAAATATTGAGAGTTGGAATCTTTTCGTGAAAATAACTAAAAATCAATCAAATTGGCACTGGAAAATTATATTGACACTTATCAAAAAAGTAAAACCAGTGCCTAATGATACAATGATTCTACACATATGTGAAAAAAATACACTTAAAAGGAAATCTGGGAAAAAATTCCTTAAATACCTCCGAAAATCCAATTATTCATGATACTACAATTTCTCATTAGTACTTATACTCTTTAAAATGTATGTAAAAACACAGTTATGTGCTTATTAAGAACCAACATAGTTTTTTGCTCAGGCTCGGTAGGTCGTTGGTTAGAGCATTGTCCAGATATGCCAGATAAGGTTGCGGGTTCAATCCCTGGACAGGGCACATACCAGAATCAACCAATGAATGCATAAATAAGTGAAACAACAAATAGATATCTCTCTCTCAAGTCAATAATTTTTTTTAAAAAGTTAACATAGTTGTGACAAAAGTCTTTTATTTCATGATATGTCTACCAGCACCACCCAAAGCCATACACACCAAATCTATTAAGGAAAATGCATTATTTTCCAGCTGTGTCCTCTAAATTTTCCAAAAAAAAAAAAAAAATGAATTTTGTACATATATATCAATAGCAATATATATTTAGTGGGAAATGCTTAAATCAATAAATTGGTACTAAGCAATCTAGACTAATAAATTATATGATATTCAAACTAAGTCACTCTACAATTATTTACCCAAATCTGAAGTGTGAAAAATTCTTTTTAAAGGATAATTTAAAATTATAAATTTGGGCATTTTACATGTAAAAGACTTAAATTCCACTGACTATTCTTATGTTTGTTTCAAAATTCAAAATTCTGAAAATTAGAAAGTAATTAAAGCATAACACTGACCTAACAGGACAAGAACTTTATTTTTGTAATCTTTATTAATATAAGATCATCCCCTAGGGCTCATCTGCTAGTTTTTTAAACAAATTTCAAAGGCAATTTTACAGTTCATTTAATACCACACACTCCTACAACCTTAGCCCCTTTACAAAACAGACAAAGGAAAAATAGCTTCAAAACTGTTGTCTTAGAAATGTTACTACAATTAAGAGTGGTTCAGCATTAACTTCTATAATCAACTAGTGTGTCTTAGATTGCCACGTACATCTTGATTGTGACATGCAAAATGGATCTTGCTTTTGCATGCAGATTTCAGCAGAGATCCACAGTCCCAAAACAAAAAGGGGAAACAAACATTACAGTGCCAACTCAAACGTATACTTGAGGGAGAGAAAACAACAGAAAAATCTTCACAATTAGAGGATAGGGGGAAAGAAAAGAGGACAAGATCAAGGTACTCAGATTCTCAGCCCACCAATGTATGAATAATTTAACAGCATTCAGCACCCATGTATGATAAGACACATTTTCAAAGTGGAAAAGAAGTTTTTAAAGAGAATGACTTAGACCATCAGTAACCATCAAGACTCCTGTGTAGGACATCAGTGTAATTCAACTTAATCTCCCTTAACAATTTAAAAGTTTTCAGAATGTATTCCAAGGTAATAGTTCATTTCAAACCTATTTTAATAAATTACACATGCACTAATTTGTATCTATATATTCTCTATGTCATTTTAAACATCTTTGATAATTAAAATAGAATAGCCATGTTGAAATTAAAAGTTTAGACAAATTATCATTAATGACTAAGAAAAGTAGCTCAAAGCTTTAGATATGAATGAACCTGACAAAAACATGTCAGGGCCTGTTTAAGAAATCTGTCCTTGTTACCAGACCACCTTTCTATTTTGAACAGTGAACCCATAAGAAAAGAGTGTGTTCAACAAAGTATTATACCTAGTGCTTTGAAATGAAAAACAATTACTTAAAACCTCTCACTTTGGTAAAAGCAGAACATCAGTTCCAAATTACACAGATGCCAAAGTGAAAGACAAGTGGAATGGATAAATTAATCCCAGTCAATAATAAAAGCATTGGGAGAAAAATGTCACAAAAAAAAAAAAAAAAAAAAGATTATGAATCAAAAATAGAATGTATATTTGGATAATTACAATCTATAATTCTATAAAAATTGCTAAAATTCAAGCATCTTTTAAATATATTTCTGGTGAAATCAAAGTCAAAATATAATACTTGGGATTCCTCCTTCTGCAAAGAAGAAATTAAATTAATCAAGTAATTTGTTCTCTAAAATACTCTGCAAATTCCAATTTACAAGAAGCATACAAAACATGATAAACAATAAAAACTTTTATATGGATGAAAACCTACAATTCCAATCTTTGCTACCTCAGCAAGGTACTGTCGATATACCACATCAATATAATAGAAATGGCACAGTTTCTGAGAACACAATCCACATTTTATTTACATTTTAAGACTAACTTTAATCTCAAAAATCGCATATCCATTCACCTATTTCCTTTTTGTTGATTTCATTTCAACTTAAATGCATGGTTTGTCAAAGACTGTAAACAAATATTTACCATGTCTTTTACATGTAACACACAGAAACAGCTTTTAACAGAAATTCATTGACCTTCCCCATGACATTTTTTTATTATAAATACAGATATGAAAACAATCCTGAACATATTTTTTATACTACTGGTAGTCAGCACCCACACCACTTCAAAAATTAAAACAATTTGAGACAATAGTCATTGTACCTGCTACTTTAGACAATTTAAATTGAAGCTCTTTCACTAAGCAAGATGGAGAAAGCATGCCATTTCTTTTTCCTTCTTGGGATTTTTACTTTTAGTAAAAATCACCATACTTTCGTCTTGTAAACCTGAATTCTGTTTTGAATACTCCAGATTTATGTTTAAATGACAGTGCTTTAAAAAAATTGTGCTGCATTTTTTCTCCTGTTACCTGAAAACATAATGTGTATACATATATTAAATATATTCTTACAAATGTCCAGGTCATATTTACCAGCTGGCATTCTTTTACTTAATGTGTGGGTATTTTGCATTGTGATATTTAATCAAGACATTAACATGAGTAGAAGATTGTTGATTTAAGACAAGTTTGAAATCCACTAAAATTAATTGTTGTATGTTTGTCCTTCTGGTGGCTGTGGAAGCTTCATATTTTCTTTGGACATCATTAGACGTCTTAGTTCTTGAAGTACAACTTTAATGCTATATGAATTTTGCCATTTTGCTAATATTGGTATGCTCCGTGCATCTACCTGGAAAGAAGAAAAAAGAATAAAATTCATTGCCAGTTTAAAGTAGTATGGCATCAATTTATTAACTATTTAAATAAGTCCATTTAAAATTTCATATCCTGGCTCTATTTTCACAAAAGTTAATATTATTTTAATGTAATAGTTAGGGAAAATATTCCTTCTTCAACAGGTGTTTCCAAGTAATTTATGTCTTTTATGTGTATTTTTGCTTTTCTGTATTTTACAAATAAACACGTAGTGAACTTTAGTCGTCAGAAATTTTTAAAATGTTGTATTAAATAGCTACACTGTAAATATATTTGGCAATTCCTTCTTGATGAAATAAGGTTAGAAGGTTCCTCTCCATTTCCAACACTGCTCCCCGAAATCTGGGCAATTATCTCCATTGGGACTTAAGAAAGAACTGTGAACCTGACTAATCTTCCACTATGCACGACTGACAGAACGGGGTTGGAGCTCCTTCCAAGTCTCATTCCCAAGTAACTGCCATCACTTGACAGTTCCCCTGGAAAATGCCAGTCACAGGACTTTTCTCTACCTGACCTCAGAACTCACCCACTGGGTACTGCCTATTCTGCCACCAAACCACTGCCACCCTTATGCCTGGCATTGAAAATAGTGCCAATTGTTTAACATCTCTACTACCTGGAGAGGCAGTAACAGGGCAAAAAGGAAGGTGACCAAAATGCTTCAGAGGGTATCTACTGATATCCATAGGGAGTTTGAAAAGTTCTAACATATGCCTGTAAATCTAGAAGACCACACACGTGTAAGGCTGTACACAGGCTCATGAAAGATCTGACCTTGAGCAATATACAAAAAAAGATTATGTACCATAACCAAGTGGGATTCACCCCAGAAATGCAAGATTGGTTCAATAGTTTAAAAGTCAATCAGAGAGACACAACGCACAGGAGCACCTGCCCCCACCCCAGCGGACACAACACTGTGGCTGGTGCTGGGCGTCTAGTATAATATAATATAAGTAGTATATAAAAAAAAATATATATATACACACACACACACACACACACACACACACACACACACATATATACATATAGTATAATATAAATTATACTATATATATATCCTCTGTATTCCTTTGTAATGGATTGACAAATATTCCTTTAAGAATATTACACAGAGAACCAAGATGGCGGCATAAGGTATAGACCTGTGCGTGCTGCCTCCCACAACAACAGTGAAACTACCAACTATAAGACAAAACAGCTATCATCCAGAACCATGAGAAAGCCGGCCCAGTGGAAGCTCTACAACTGGAAGGAAAGAAGGAAGCACACTGAGACTGAGTAGGAGGTGCAAAGGTGCCAAGAGCAGAGGTACGGAGGTGCACACCAGGCGGGCTGCAGCTGGATGCACGGTTTTTTTCAATCGGAAGGGGATACAAGCTCTCAAATCCACTGGCTTGTTTGGGGCGGGATTCTGAGGTCCCAGACCCCTACGGGGAGAGGCGGGACTGTCTTGCAGCGGGTCGGAGAGCGAGGGTGGCTTTCTCACGAAGCTGCTCGCAGGCACTTGGGGAAGCGGAGACGTGGAATTGTGGAGTCAGGGAGTCGCGGAGAGGCGAGGAGTCTCGGAGACACTGACGACAACCATTGCTGTTTGCCCCGCCCTGGTGATTCTGAGACCCCGCCCTACTCAATTTACATCCCCACCCAAGCTGTGCCAGTGGCACAAAAGGAACCACCTGCGCTTTTGCAGCCTAACCCAACAAACAAACTGCAGATTTCAACTCCTCGCATCCATAAGGGCCATACTCAAGAAGCAGAATCAGGTTGGGAGGAAAGCGGAGTCGGAGCCGACCTGGGTGGGCCGGCAACATCGAACCGCTGAACCAGCAAAAGCACAGGCAGGTTCACCAGATCCAGTCTCACATGGGACACCGGGAGACAGCAGACAAGCAGTCTGTGCACTTAGTAGAAAACGAAATCCAAGCAAGCATACCAGATGTTCAGCTAGCTAGAATGCCTGGAGATTTTGTCCAGCAAGGAGCCTCCCAAAAAAAGACAGAATGCCAAACTTCGTGTTGACCAGTTAAAGCATGATGTCCAGCACCTGCAGACTGCTCTCAGAAACTTACAGCATCGGCGATACGCAAGGGAGCAGCAGGAGAGATAGAGAGGAGCTTCTGTCTCACACCTTCACCCCTAACGTGGGATGCGGCGTCCCCTGCGAGGCTGCGTGAGGCTGCAACGGCCCCTGCGAGGCTGCAACGGCCCCAGTGAGGCTGTGTGAGGCTGCGACGGCCCCTGCGAGGCTGCAACGGCCCCTGCGAGGCTGCGTGAGGCTGCGACGACCTCTGCGAGGCCACGATGGCCCCAGCGAGGCTGCAATGGCTCCTGCGAGGCTGCGACGGCTCCTGCGAGGCTGCAACGGCCCCTGGGAAGCCAGCGGAACCGTGCGAGCTGCCCGGACGGCTTCGTCAACGGCCCGCAAACCAGCTCGCAGCCCCACGCACGACTATAACCCGAAGGGCGAGAGGGGCGAGAGCAGCTGTAGTGTTGCTTTCTCCTCACTTCTGGTAGCGAAATCCTCATTTTAAACATAAGAGGACACATTATTTTAAAAAGCCGTTACGTGGCTCTGTACCCTTTCTGAGTAGAGCGTGAACACGTCGTGAGAGACCTTTCCGAACACAGGGACACGTTGCGGATGGAAATAGCTACATTTTCCATGTGTATGACCTTTGACACGGCGACAAAAAGCGTACACCTATGGATGAGGACAGTGGGGGGGTATGGGCAGAGGGTGGGGTGGGAACTGGGTGGAGGGGAGCTATGGGGGAAAAGGGGGAACAACTGTAATAATCTGAACAATAAAGATTTATTTTTAAAAAAAAGTCAATCAATGTGGAGAAACCGAGATAGCGGCATAGGTAATCACCTATACTTGCTGCCTCTCACAACCCATCAAAATTACAACTAAATAGCAGAACAACTACCACCCAGAACCGCGGGAAAGCTGGATGAGTGGAAGTTCCACAAATAGAGAGGAAAAGAAAGCTCATTGAGACCGGTAAGAGGTGCGGAGGTGCGGAAAGTGCTGGCACCTGGATGTGCTGTTCTTTAAACCAGGAGGGAGATACAAGCTCCTGCTTGTTCTGAACTCCAGTTCCGAGCGAGACTCTGGGGGATCCAGACACACACGGGGAGAAACTGGACTGTAAGGCATCAGGACAGGAATGCGAGGGCGGCTTACTCTTAGAGGTGCTAGCAGAGATCATTGTTCCTGAACGGGTGCATGGGATGCAGAGAACCAGGGACTTCTCCAGTTCAGGGCGGCCATTGCTGTTTGCTCACTCTGGTGATTCCCAGAGACCCCACCCAACCCAATTTACAAACCCACCCAAGCTGTGCACATTGGCTTTTGCAAATGGATGGTCTGTCCTTTCGCCTAAAAAAATAACTGCAGCTGGGTCAGAGAGCCCCAGAGATTCCAAAAGAAGGCCTACTACCTGGCAGCAACAGCAGCCTTGCTTCACAGCTGGAGCTCGTCTGGGCACCTCCAAACCCCATACAAAGAGGAGGAAATCTGCAGATCTCTCTGTAGCTCCTGCTGGGCAGCCCCAGACAGTGGCTGACCTTGCACCTTCTTGGAGATCCAAGAGCCAGTGTACCCAGAGGTCAGAGTGAGACTATAACGAATTAAAACTCTTCACATCCATAAGAGACACACTCAAGGGGCAGACTCAGTGAGCACCAAAGCCCGACTGAAGCAAGTCCTGCCCCATAAGGGTGTCTCCTGCTCAACAGATCCTCCAGTGTAGACACAGCTGGTCATCACAGCCAATTGGCCTGGAGATCAATTCCTCCCAGTGATACCAACAGCAATCAAGGGTTAACTACAGCCCTAACAAGTTTGGCTCAGTGGATAGAGCGTCAGCCTGTGGACTGAAAGGTCCCAGGTTCGATTCTGGTCAAGGGTATGTACCTTGGTTGTGGGCACATCCCCAGTAGGAGGTGTGCAGGAGGCAGCTGATCGATGCCTCTCTCATCGATGTTTCTAACTCTCAATCCCTCTCCCTTCCTCTCTGTAAAAAATCAATAAAATATTTTTTTAAAGGGTTAACTACAACAAGACTGTGCAAACAGCCCACAAAGGGGTGCACCAAGAGCATCCACCTCAGGTGACTGGGGAGGCTGAGCCACTGGGCCCTATAGGACACCTAGCACACAAAGCTACTCTACCAACACAGGGAAGCAGCCAAAATGCAGAGACAAAGAAACAAGTCACAAATGAAAGAAATGGATGAAAGCAAAATATTGGATATAGAGTTCAAAACAACAGTTATAAGGTTACTCAAGAATCTTCTAGAAACCTCTGGGAAATTTAGTGAGACCCTCAAGGATATGAAAAAGGACCGATCAGAAATTAAGCATACACTGACTGAAATAAAGAATATTATACAGAGTTCTAACAGCAGACAAGAGGATCGCAAGAATCAAGTCAAAGATTTGAAATACAAAGAAGCAATAAACACCCAACTGGAAAAGCAAAAGGAAAAAACAATACAAAAATATGAAGATAGTGCAAGGAGCCTCTGGGACAACTTTAAGCGTACCAACATCCGAATTATGGGGGTGCTAAAAGAAGAGAGAGCACAAGATATTGAAAACCTATTTGAAGAAATAATGACAGAAAACTTCCCCTAACTGATGAAAGAAATAGACTTACAAGTCCAGGAAGTACAGAGAACCCCAAATAAGAGGTATCCAAAGAGGACCACACCAAGACACATCATAATTAAAATGCCAAGAGCAAAAGACAAAGAGAGAATCTTAAAAGCAGCAAGAGAAAGACAGTTACCTACAAGGGAGTACTCATACGACTGTCAGCTGATTTCTCAACAGAAACTTTGCAGGCCAGAAGGGAGTGGCAAGAAATACACAAAGTGATGAATAGCAAGAACCTACAACCAAGTTTACTCTGCCCAGCAAAGCTATCATTCAGAATTGAAGGTCAGATAAAGAGTTTCA